AGGAGGCGGAATGGCCCTAGCGTGTTGCCCAAACTCAAGCGGGTAGAGGAAAGTGTCTTCCTTAGCCCCACGGTTCTGCCAGTACTAGTAAGATGACAACTCTGAGGTCACACAGAATCCTGCGGGGTTTTCTAACTTCTAAGAAGAATAACTTGTCCAAATCAGTGACTACTTCTTGGCCTTATTCAACTCCAGGTGAAAGACCCAGAGGGCCTTATAATTCCTTTTTATCCTGTGGTTTTAGTCATTTTCATTCTGTTTGGCCCAAATAAACAGAGAGCTGAGCGGCTCGGTAGGCGGCAAGTCCCCAGTCTGACAAGGCACAATAGCCTATTTTCTTCATCTCTATAGAGCAGAGACGGATATGTGAAGGACGCCCAAGGACTGAGAATCGTTCAAGCCTAAAGACCTACGACATTCCATGAATCAATGTTAAGAAAAAGAAAACATTTAAGATGGAACTGTACTTTGAAGTGATCAGATACTGCAAAACAAGTGAGTTCTAGAACTGTGTCTTCATACCTCCTCTTCATTAAGTGACAGCAGACTAAAAACTAATAGTCTCCACGTTACATGGAATTTGAAAAATAAAAGCAAAAGCATCTCTACATACCTACAATCATCTTACCAATGCAACAGAGGGATTCCCTTAGAATTCTCTCATTCTTGGTTGACAAAACTAACAAAATATGGCTCAAAGAATTAAACAGACAAATGCCTTGGATCATGTCATGGAAAAAATCCACAGATGTATGTATTTAGCTTTGGGAACAGTGTGACTTGGCCTCATACGATGTCACCAGGCTCCTCTTCCACTCTAATCCCTCTGAACTGCGCCCACTTTGAAGCTGCGTGCGCTTGCCCAGATTGTAGCGCTCCTCCATGCCTCCCGGACGCACATCCGCACACTTACAAAGCAGAAGGGAGTGAATCAAAACTGCTCCTGCAAATGGATCAGTACATCCTTTTGTTTCCAGCTGAGCAGCTCAGCCCACCTCCATACCCAGCACTACGGCAAAAGGCACGGGAGGTGCTAACTGATCAAACCACACCAACAGCAAGCCTGACACAGGGAAAGGGGTGTTTTCTCAAAGGAGATGCAAAGTCACAGAGGCTAGAGAAAAGATGACTTTGTGGAATAAAACAGATCAATGACGGAAATTTTTTGTCTCAGTCTCACACCTCCAACATTATTAATTCTTGACTTTAACTCAAAATTCAATCCTGTTTACCAGTGAATCTCAAACTCATTAAAAAAAACAGTGGAAATGCTAACAGGATGTAAGTAGCTAATGTTTACTGAGTCCTGATCTTGGACCTAGACACTTGGTTAAGAACTCTACATATATTATTTTATTTAATATTCACCAGACCTCGATTTATAGATGAGGAAAACTGAGGCTCAGCAAGGTTAAATTATCTACCTAAGATCACAGACTGGTAAGGAACACACCAGAATTCAATCTGAGGACTCACACTGAATGTTAACCAACATATTACTCAATGGCTGTCAGTATTCTTACCTGTATCCCTGACCCATCCCTAAATTGATATTCTGAACCTGAATCCTCTTGACAGTGCCTGTCCTGCTTAAAACTGTAAAACTGACCTACGGCCATGTAAATCTTCTGAGGCTGTTTTTGACTATTTTTGGCAAGGTGTGATTCTCTTTGCTTCAAGAAAGCACATCACTTTACATGGGCAAGGTGCTTTATAATTCTTGAAACACTTCCACGAAGTCTGTGGGAAACGGGAAGCAGAGGAGCAAGCTGATTGCAGTTGCTCATCTGGACAGCAGCAGCAGCCTGATTGCGATGACTTGCTAGAGATGATCCCATTAAAGAAAATTCGATGTGCTTCTGCACTGTGAATGTTCCAACAGATGGCTCAGGAGGGAACATTCCCAAACAGAAAGAATGTTCACCAAAAAGCAACAATCACAGAGGAACAAAATTGATCGCATGCAGCATGAAGGTGAGCAAATTTACAGTTACTATTGTGAGGTCAAAAAGTAATTCAGCCATTAATTTCTAATACTACTCAGATTATTTGGAGGAGGGGCAGACTTTTTTTAATTGCATTTCTTAAGCAAAGAAGCTAATGAAATTTACTCATTGTTGCCACCAGAAAGCCAGAAAATGATTCAACTTTTTTAAAAGAAAGCAAATGATTTTTCTAAGTAGAAGCCCCAATCCAGAGGGGAAGAGCAAGGATACTTAAGAGGGCATGCACGCTCCCCCACAAGGAAGCAGGGATGTGGCGCTGCAGTCCCAGCCACGTACTCCTTCTTCCTCTTATTCGTTATTCAGCAACCAGGAGCAGCTGAGTCATTTTTAACCTCAAGGACTGTAATGATTCCCAAATAAATTCAAGTTACGAACCTCCTTTCTCATCACTGTGTAACTAAAAAATGTACACATTCTAATTTTTGTTCACGTTGCTTGAGTGTGATGTGAATGAGCACGGAAGGAAGAGCTCCGTTCTAGAAATTATAGGGAATTCTCAAAGTCAAAATTATCACAAACCCTTTTAGAGTGCTCTTCACTATATAAAAGAAAAAGTATCATTCATTTGTGGTGACTAACATTTTTTCCAGAATTTTCTAAATTGCCAAAAGAAAAGAAATTCATGTCAGGCTTATGATTCAAAACAGATTTCCTAAACTCAAACTATAAGTAGAGCTTGGAAGATCAAAGAGCAGAACACATTAAGGTAGGGAAAGGTTAGGAAGACATAGCTAAAATCTGACAGCATGTGCATAGGCGAAACTCTGTGAAACATTTGTCCAGTTAGAGATATTCACTTTAACCACAATTATACTACTAACTTATGCAATATCCTAAATCTTTCCTTTCCTTCAACAGGTAAAATGTACTGAGATCCAAAGTAACAGGTCGCTTGTGTTCTTCAATTTTGCAAATTCCTCACCTTTCTCCTGTAAATTCAACCTTTTCCCTGGCCATCCACAAAGCAGTGAGACCCAAAATGCAGACAGCACACGAGAACAGTCAGAATAGCCAAGCTCCAGAGCCTGTCCCTACTCCCGAGCGAGGCGTCTGTACGTCACCAGCTAACCTCCTGGAAGCTCACTTTCTTTATCTGAACAAGGCTTGCTATCTTCACAGCACTACTACAAGCATCAAAGGAGGTCAGTTGTATTAATCACTTTGGAAACACCAGAAAGACTTCTGTAACAGTATCAGGTACTGTGATTGCAATATATTCCCAGGCAAAAAGATGCTGAATATACATGAATTCTAGGTTCATTATTTGTATGAATTGAGACACATAATTTCCCAGTCTTTATAGGCACCATTTCTTTCAAACCTGAATGAAAAATGAATAGCTCCTTAATGAGCTTTACAAAGTCATCTTTTTCATGTCCCCAAAAGAGGCAAAAATTAAAGATTTTTCAATGGGCTTACAGAAAGAAAAAGTCAAAGAAGAATACAAACAGAAATATCTCTGGCATTTTTCAAGGCCAAAAGCTTGCATTACAGAAGCATTCACCTCACCTGGACTTCTATTTGATCTCTGTCTACCCGGCTGCATTGTAGGGTCATAAACAAATGTAGGGCCATAAGCATTTCCCCGCTAAGGGCCTGGCTTCCAGTTCCTGCGCTTCCTATCGTATTTTATCCTCAATCATTTTTATTTGGGCCTCAAGACAGTTAAATCACAGTGCTTCAATCTTCCCACACAGAATAGTTCTCCCACCTTTGATGTTTTCTAGCATCAAATATCTTATGCTTCTTTCTCAAGTTTGTGCTATTTATTCCCATTGATCAATTCATCACTCAGCTTTTATTTTATAACCAAAATATTACATCTTGGAAATCAAAGTATCATTCTTAGCCTTTTGGCAAGATACTAGCACCTGAATTAAAGCATAAAAGTAAACTTCTAAATGTCATTTAGTTTTTTTTTTTTCTTCTTACGTGCTAATTTCATAATGCAGTTATGTGAGCAAGGACTAAAGTAATGTCACGACTAAAGTAAAGTAATGACTCTTTTATGGTTACTTCCTTGCCAGGAGTTTAACATTACGCCAAATCACTTCATAATAAATGTAACTTTTGAAAGAATGTTTCTTTCACCAGTATCTTAATATATACATGCATTTAGCATACACAAGCAATAACAGTAAATATTAAAACAATTTCTATATGAAAAGTATCACTAAAGTCTAACAAATATCTGATGAAAACCAAGCAACAGGAATTACTCAAATCTGTGGCTAGTGATGCAGCTGAGTGCTGGAGTCCTTGCCTAGCATGTACAAGGCCCTGCCTTAATCCCCAGCACAGACAGAAGGAGGGAGGGAGGGAGAGAGGGAGGAAAAAAAGGAGGGATCTCAAATATTTCAGCAATTTATGTCTTCTTGAAGTCACTGCCCCAAGTGTCGAAGAGCAACAGAAAATCCTTAACTTCCAAATATTAGATGCCTTCCAAATATAGAGAAACATGGTGTGGAAGAATGTTGATCCTCACATTTGAGTGCAGATAAACTATCTAAAGGATGGATAATGCTTTTCTTAACCTTAAGGTAACCAGCAGAAAAAATTACCTCTGCATAGATTACCTCCATACTGCTTTAAATTAGAAAGCAATTTTAAATTCATTTGTGCTGTGCATGGTGGTACACACCTATAATCTCAGCACTCAGGAGGCTGAGGCAGGAGGACCACTGCCAGTTCAAGACCAGCCTGGGCTACAAAGTGAGCTCAAGGCCAGCCTGAACTGCAGAGCAAGACCCTGTCTGAAAAAAGACAGTTAAAACTAATTATCTAAATAAATAAATAAATAAATTCATTTTTAAAGTTGTTGCTAGTTGTTATTACTCTTTTGCATGTTGTTTTTTGTCTGCTAAGCCACCTATAGATAAAATTGGATTAAAGCATGTAGATGTATAGACCACTTAAGTTATATACCCTACTTTAAGACTTAAAACAACTTACACATTTGTGAATAAAAGTAATATGAAAAGAAACTTCAGTTACCTTCCCAAAGTCACGCACATCAAACAGGTCAAAGGCCTCAAAGAGTTCACTTTTCTTCATTCCAAATGTCTCACAACAGGCCGTGAGAAATGTCCGTATGTTCTTCAAACAGAGAAACTGAGGAACAGAAAACAGCTATCAGTATATAGAAAATCATTTTGAAGGCCACTTATTTTCAGTCACACTGACTTACCATAAAAAATGATCAGGAAGAATCCATCCACTTGTGAAGTTGCTGTTCAACTACTCTCTGGCAGTACCAACCACCCACATTGTCCGACACTTACACTCAAATACAAAGACAGTCAAGAACAAACACAACAAACACAAAAAGTAACTTTCCTATGTTCATAAGATAAAAACTGAAATGGAGAAAAATAAAGCTAAGAGAAGGCATCAGGAGAACTGGTGAGGCTACGGTAGGAGGAGCTTAATCAGGCTGGTTAGAAAAGCACCATCTGAGATGGCAGAGCACAGATTTGAGGTCCTGGGAGAGCAAGCCATCCAAAACGACAGACAGAGCATCTCAGCCAAAAGAGCACCCTCTGGCAAGGCCCTGAGATGGCAGCATCTGAGTATGTCTGAGAAGAAAGCCAGAGCAGAATGAAGGATGGGGAGACAGGAGTAATCTCCCGAAGTAATGGGGGCAGAGGATGAGTACTTGTCTAGACAGCTTTTAGTCTGACCAATATGGAAAGTGATTGGAGGCTTTGGGCCAGACAAGGGACGAAATCTAATGTTCTTAAAGAGTTTCCCAGGCAGCCGTGTTGAATACGCATCGAAGTAGCTCAAGGCAAGGATGAGGCACCACAAAAAAGAGGCGATTGCAATCATCCAGGTGAAAGACAACTGTGGGAGGACCAGGTGCTACAGTCTGACTGTATTAAATCTGAGATGCCCATCAGTCCACCAGTGTGCTGGAGGACCAGGAACCGGCTACCAACTAGTGAGAGGTGTGAACTGCAAACAAAACACTGGAAGTCTTGCAAGTATTCAAACATCTGAAACGACTTTGGGAAAGGGAAGAGAGGACCCAGGACCAGGAAATCTTAGGAGAGGAGGAAAATAGGAAGAGCCTACCAAGGAATCTGGGAAAAAATAACAGTGAGGAAGGAGTAAAACCAAATTGGTTTTCTTGAAGCAAAGTTTCTAAGTAGAGGAAGTGACAAACTGTCAGATGCTGCAGACCATCAAGTAAGGTTTAGATCAAACACTGCCCATGGGATTTGGCAGCGTGAAGTCTTGAGCAACTTGACAGAAGCAGGTTCTGTGGGGGGCTGCGGCGCAAGGCTGTCTGGAGTAGGTCCAGACACAGTGGCAGGGGAATGAAGATAGGACACACTCTTTAGTTTGGCTGCAATGGCAAAGAGAGAAACAGAAGTCAAGAAAGGTTTTTTTTTTGAGGGGGGGGTTGCGAACAATGAAAAATATTACATGTTTCTACTTTGATGGGAATAACATGATAGAGGAGAAAGTTAGCCCAACAGAAGAGTTCCACATGGAAGAGAAGCACAGGCACCCCAATGAAGTCCTTGAATGGGCAAAGAGGAGAGGATCAGACGTTCAAGTGCAAAGGCAGACCGCAGCAGAGTGGTCAACTCATCCATATCAGCAGGAGCGGAAGAGGAGAGGTGGACGCTACTCACAACTAGAGAACCAAAAGTGAGAATCCACACTGAATATTTAAAAGACTCAGATCCACCTAAGCAAAATATACACATATCCTAAAACTGAACCAACTGCTTCTAGAAATATGAGCCGCAATGGCAAATGAAAAAAAAAAAAATGTATAAACTTCAAGTAGATGATGTTTATTACATGGCAAACATATCAAAACAGTTCTTGAAATTAAAAAAATAACCTCAGTAAGTGAACATCTTAATGAATTACTGTACCTTTGTTTTTTAAAGCACTATCAAAAAATGTTTTATTTTAATTTTTAGTGTTGGGTTTTTAGTTTGCAGAAAGTACATTTTACTTCCTCTGCTTTTGAAACCTCATAGGCTTAACTCAGACACAGTTTTACCCTTTACAGGAATCATTCTTACAGGCTTGAATATTTCAGGAGGGGTTAAAACCACAAGGGAAGCATCAAAACCCTTTGAAGCACAGAGGCAGCAGCCAATCCGCACATGCAGCTACTGCTTTCACCTTAAAAAATTCATAAGAGACCTTTACAGCACGGAATCACTCTGCATGCTGCGCTTCCACATAGAATTGCTTATTTACAGATTAAAAGCTTTGCATTCTGCCAAGCCAGACAATAATTACTCCCTAGAGGATTACACAACTGCTCTCTTGCAATATTTTTTACATAATTAAGTGCCCCGACTCATAGCTCACCAAGGAACAAAGCATGATTGCAAATGCCACCCTCTCAAGATTTCTCACCAAACTCAAATTTTCCCCACGCGTAGGAAATACTGCAGCAGGCTTCTACTAACACACTTTGATCATTAATCCAGAAAAGCAAGTAACATTACTGAAAGTGAAAACAGTATGTAATACAGTCGTTACTGCATGTTCAGGAGAGAAGATTTAAAAACAGCCTTTCTCTTACTTCTGCAACCAATGCTAAACTTACTTTTTCCCTTAATTAGTTTGATTCCACTAAATTCAAATATGTCCTGGGTTGGAAGTCACCAGTATGTTGTCACTTTTCCAAGTAACCATCAAACCTGGTCACCTCCTTTTTGTTTGTTTTTTTTTCTGGTACCGGGAATCGAACTCACAACCTAGTGCTTGCCAGACAGGTGCTGTGCCACTGAGCTAAATCCCCAGCCCCTCTGGTCACCCCTTTTAATACATGTTTTCAGTCAACAGTTTCTGAATACCTGCGACATTACAGACCACAGCTGGGTAAGACTAGCCTCTACCTTAAGCACCTCTATTAAGCAGGAGATTGTCACATGCTCCAAACTGTGGTTCAAAGCAGTAGGTTCACACTCCGCTCCATGCTCCGTGTTCAGCTGTGTGCAGAAGCAGGCGCCCTGAACCACTGGGCCTGCCAGCCCGCCTACCACACCAAGACTTCAGCTTTGCTTTTCTCCTATTTATTTTTCTTTTTTTCAGTTTAAGAAAATTTCAAACCAAAAGAAAAGCTGCAAAATACAACGGACATCACCATCTATGCATCACCATCACTATCTATGTAAGATAGTGCCATAGATATGTTTGGGTGTGCATAGCCACTATTTATTTTTAAATTTATTGTGCAGAGCTATTTGAAGACAAGTTGCACTTTACTCCTAAATAACTCCATATGCATCTCCTAGAAATAAGAGGAGATATAAGAAATAACATATAAGAAATAAGAAATAACATTTTCCAACCTACACACAATACCAGCATTGCATCAGAAGAAGAACATTCTCTACTACTCGCTCCATATTCAACTTCCCACATTTGCCCAAGGCGTATTTTTCACAGTATTTTTCACCCAGCCTAGAGCTTAGTCAAGTTTTGTTCATCAGATTTGGCTGTTTTGACTTTGTAGTATCTTTTAATCTAAGAATTCTAGCTTTTCTTTTTTACCATTAACTTTCTATAGAGTGCAGACTGGCTGTCTTATAAATGTCCCACATTTTAATTTATCTGTTTCCTTACAGAATAACTGAACCCACTTTTTCACCACGTATCTCTCCTATGAACCAAAGTCTAGATTCAAGTTAAATAGTTTTTAGCAAAAATACATCATAACGTGAAATTCATATTTCATCACATCAAAAGACACAAAATGTGCAATTGTCCCGCTGTCTAACTAATGCTAACCTCAATTATTTGGTTAAAGATCCATGATTAAGACTTTCACATCTTTCTACTGTAAAGATACACATCCCCCCTTACATCTGTAAGTAACTCGGGGGTAAAAATGTAGTATCATGCAGCTATTCTAATTTCTAATTATGTTTCACGATGGGTACAGCATCTGCTGATCATTCTTGATTGAAATATTTCATCTGGGACTATAAAATAATGACTTTTCCTAATTCTATGATTCCTTTCCTTTATTAATTGCTTTTTGGTCAAAAAAAAAAAGAGATCACCTGTCTTCCTGTTTTAGAGGTAGGGGGTTTAATCTAATATTCAAAAGCCAACATTATTCTTTTCAGTCTTCACATTGTCCCAAATTTGGATCTGTGGATCCTTCAAAATGGTACCTGTTCTTTTTGATATGCTATCATTTATTTTTGTCTTCTTTGCTTTCTAACTTCAAATTGTCCCACACTCAAATATTTTCTCTGCTTTAAATGAATCAGTCACTTCTGCAGGCAGGTCTGTTTTCATCTATAAACAGTAAATAGTCTTGGAAACCAAAACCTGAGCACCAGGCTACTCACAGGTTACATGAACCAATTAAATTAAATGAACCAACTTGACATTTTGCTTGAGCAATCTATCAACTGCAACATGAAGAACTGATATAAACAGTAGTGGCCTAACTGGTCTCTAAGGTTCCTTTCAGAAAATTCTGTAATTTTCTTTGTGAAATATCTAAGGAGCAATTGTTATCTTACTCTGTTCAGGAAAAAAGAAACTTTAGACCACTAAAGACGACTATAGGCAACTAAACAAATAGTTTTATGGCTAGAGATGTGATTGTATCTCATATAGCATTTTTTCGGTGTAAGCTTTTCGTCCGGTCTATTCACTCTTTGGGGTTGGAAGGTATTTGATAATCCTTTGTGTCATCTGCAGCAACTTAGAGTATGTCCTCAGGGGTGCTCAGGAGGCACAAGGACAGCCCAATCTCATTACTTAACAGCCATGCCTTACTCTTGACCGAAAATTACACAACTGTGCTAAATCATCTAACATACGACATAACTTTAGGATTTGTTAAAATTTAAAATTTTGGGACTAGAATGAAATCTTTAGAATTTTTAAAATAGTAAATGTGTCCATACAAGATTAAAAGCTGCTAATAAATAACCATGTACTTATTTAAAACGCCCTTTATTCATTTTAAAGCGGTTAATGAGGTGCCTAGTGTGTGCCAGGTATCACGAAACTTCATAACACATACTGCTGAGTTCTAACTTATTAGTGCATTAAACAAATGTGAATTAAATGAAAATAGCAAGAATCGGGTATAAAGAAGTACACAGGCACCAGACT